CTTCCCAGCTCCGTTCCCTTCCCTGCACACGCTCCAGCCCCTCAGTGTCCTTCTTGTCACATGGACATGGATCCAGACGGGGACTCTCCCAGCCCTCAGGATCTGCCAGGATCAAACCTTGGAGATGTCCCCAAGTGTCTCCAGGCACATCCACCACTATGGATGTCAGCACCTGGGAAGGAGCTGCCTAAAAAACTGCTTGGAGGCTCCAATTAATCCAATAATCCCATGGATTGGTGCTAATTCAAGGAGCAGGGTGAGGGTGAGCTTGGTGGTGAGGGAGGACGAGTTGAACTGCAAACCCCTCGCCCCTTGGGGTTCCCATTGTGGGATGCATCCCACGGGGTTCTTTCTTCTAAAAATAAAATGGAATCAGCACTTTTAAACCAGCTGGGTCCTCCTGTCCTGGTCCTGCTCCGTTGTGGCCTCTCAGTCTCCAGGTCTGAGCTGAATTTGGGGTGTTTTGAGGCCTCTGCTACCACCAGAGACTTGAGTAAATGAGGAATTTATTGTTACAAATAAAACAAGGCTGGAATTTGATGGTCCCTGGCAAAGCTGGTCAAGGTTCTTCCCCCAGAGGGTGGTTGGCACTGACCAGGCTCCCCAGGGCAGTGGGCATAACCCCAAGGCTGCCAGAGCTCCAGGAGGGTTTGGACAACGCTCTGAGGGGCAGGGTGGGATTGTTGGAGTGTCTATGGACTGGATGCTCCTTGGGTATCCCTTCCAGCTCAGGACATTCCATGGTTGTATGACCCGTGTAGCTGTCACTTGTCCCCGGGGTCCTCTGCCCTGGAGCACCTTTGGGGTGTCACCAACCGCTCTCACCGGCCCCTCTCTCTTCTTCTCTCCCGCCCTGTGTCCCACAGGACCACATCCCGGTGCCCTACCAGCCGGATTCCAGCAGCAACCCCTCCTCCACCACGTCCTCCACGCCCTCGTCGCCGGCGCCGCCGCTGCCGCCCAGCGCGACACCCCCGTCCCCCCTGCACCCCTCCCCGCAGTGCCCGCGCCAGCAGAAGCAGTTCAACCTGCCAGGTACCTCCACGTCCGTCTGGGCAGAGGGGCTCGTGCCCCCAGGGGGTCCTCAGGGTGAGGGGCTGCTCCCTCTGGGCCTACGTCGGGATAGGGAAAAGGCGGAAGCGGCAATGAGCAGCAAGGATGAGTTTGGGGGAATTCAGGTGAGGAGTCTCCATCAAAGCTCTGGCTGGAAGAAGGGTTAGAGCCCAAGGTTTGGTTCAGTTGGGTCTTGGAAACCTCCCAAGGATGGAGCCAGCACAACCTGCTGCTCTTGAGGCTACGAAATCCTTCCCAGGCTTGGGTTGTCCAGGGCTCGTTGACTCAACTGTGAACAGAAATCAAGGTCTTCCTCCCTCTCCAAGGCCTCTTTGGGTTGACTTCTCTGTGTCTTTGGGGTGATGGGCCCCCAAAATCTTGTTGGCAGCACATGTGGGCTGATAGTGGAAGGGAGGTGATGCTGGGGGTGTCTGACATCCTTGTCCCATCGAGGCTTGTCTGGGTACCTGGGACCCATCTGCTCCTGGAGAAGGGACAGCCAAGGATCAGGCTCTTCAGGGGTGGTGGGAGGGGCAGTTGGGTCCTGGTGGCTGCAGGACACAGGAGTTACAACATTAAATGACCAAAAAAAAATAGCTCCTCCTGGGCTGAGAGAGTCTCAAAGCCTGTCCACCTTTGGGATGGCCTCGGGGCAGTGCTGCTGCTCCAGGGAAGGTCCCTTCCTGGAGGGGAACAGCTCAGCATCACTCCTGGCGGTGTGGAGGGGCTCAGCTGTCCTCAACCACCCACCTGCCTCTCCAGCCACTCCCAAAAAAGTCCTGGAGAGTGGAGAGGAGGGGGAGCCCTGGCCTTGACCCACTCCTGAGGTGCTGAAGCACCCACAGCTGCCCTGGGGCTGGTGGCCCCTCTGTGCTCCGTGACCTCAGGCCTCTTTGCTGGAGCAGAAGTTTGGGGTCCCTCCTGCACCCCCAAACCAGCACTTAATGAACTGGTCCAGTGGGAAGAGGGATCAGGAGAATTCCTCCAGAGGAACCAGGTGGAATCTTCCTGCTCTGCTGGTCCTGCTGCACCCTGGTGATGCCACCCTTCCCTCCTGACAAGCCCTGAGCTCGAGATGAGGAGGAGGGAGAAGAGGAGGAGGAAGTTGACTGGCAGAATTCACCCCACAACAAAACAAACATTTCCCAAAGCCTGGAAAAACCCCAACGAGCAAGCAGCAGGTCCTGGTGTGCCTGGAGAGGCTACAGCCATGCCCGAGGCTCCCTCACTGGAGTGCCCAGGACTCCAGTGGGGGGCTGGAGGGGCCTGAGGAGGACAGGGGAGGAGCTGGGAGGAAGCTCTGAACACCCCAACCCTTGAGGCCGGGATTTTGCCAGCAGAACTCTGGAGTGTCCACGTTCTGGGAAGACAATCCACAGTGCCAGTGAACTCCTGAGTGGGTTTCCATCCTGGTACAACCCCAGTGTGTGGTGGTCCAGCCGGAGCTGAAGCATCCTGAGGTCTCCACAGTGGGATAACGGGGATCAGAGCGATCAACATCCTCAATCCACCTGCTGGGCCAGCCCTGGAACCTCCCTGGGCAGGGAAGAGGGTCCTGAATTTGGTGACCCCATCATGTGTCGCTTCTGGAGCAGAGACCTTCCCGAGGGTCTTTTTGAGACATTATTTCATGTTGTTTAAAGCAGAAACAACAGAATTAACCCCCAAAAATGGCCACCTTATGGGGACCTGGCAGGTTTTCCTGGCCAGCAGGGATGGAGGGGGCAGGATCAGACCCCGGCAGCTCTGGGGGTGCTTGTTCCCTGCTTTCATTCCCTGCTTTCATTCCCTGCTTTCATTCCCTGCTCCAAATGGGAGCTGGACCGACACAGGACTCGCTGTGCTTTCATGAAGTTCTCTGTGGTTCATCCCATCAAGATGGTCATCCCAGGGATTAGGATTTGAGCTTGGAAATGGCGACACGGGGACCTTTTCCTGCCGGAATTACCTCCGAGGCTCCTTTGATCTCGGCTCAGGTCCTGCTGCAGAGCTGAGGTCGGGCTCCAGGGTCTCAGAGCTGGAGAGGGGAAGGTGAGGGTTGGTCCTTGGGGTCTTGGAGCTTAAGGAAAAAGTGGTTTTTGAGCCGGTGCCAACCTCTGGAGGCCTCGGCAGCTCTGACTTGCTTCGTGCCCCTGCACACAGGAACCAGCCCTTGGATTTTGCCCACTGGAGATGGGGAGCCAGTGGAGGGTCCCACTACCCAGAGCCCTTCTGCAACACTGGTTTGGGCAGCAGCCCCCACTACTCCTTTCAGTGCACCAGGAGCTTGACAGGGAGCCCAGGAAGGACACAGCTCCAAAGATGGAAAAAAAGTGCTGAATTGGGCCAAAATGGGTGGCAAAATCCATCTCTTGGTGTCTCCGTGATGCCAAACGACCCCCAAAGACTGGCAGAGGGCCAGCACTCAAACCCCACGGCCTTTTCCTGGCAACCAGGTGTCCAAATCCCACCAGTGAGTTCACAGATGACATGAACACTCTCCAGAGGGTGTAGAAGAGCAGCTGATGGGGGCGAAAATCAAATTATAATCCAGCCAGAGGTCTTAATTTTTGGCCTGGGCACCCAGCAGGAGTGGCTTCCTCAGGAGAGGTGAGGCTGGGAGAGGTTGGGTCACACAGGTGGGGGTCACACAACCTCCCCCTGGGGTTGAGGCTTCATGGAGCAGGACTGGGCATAGTTTGGAGCCTCTCCAGCTCTAGAGATGGATGTTTAACCCTCCCTTCTCTCTTTTCCAGCTTCCCATTACTACAAGTACAAGCAGCAGTTCATTTTCCCAGGTGAGGTTCCCTGGATAGCGTGGGGTGCTGGGATCTCCCCTGGAGGGGTGGGTGTGTGGCTGGCCCTCCTAAATCCCTGGATTTGTGCCAGGGAGGTTGTGCTGGGCTGGGATTTGCCCCCCCAAAAGCAGTATATGGATGCAGGGCCGTGCAGTGGGAAGGTGCTGCGGGGTTGGGTGGCCCTGAGTGACCCCCAGTCCTGGATCGGGGTGTCACTTAAGCTGACCTGGGGGCAAAGGGAGGTTTTAAGCAGGGTTTAGTCGCCCTGGGTGCCCCCCAGACCTCTCTCACTTTGCTCTCCTCTCTCCAGATGTGGTGCCTGAGACTCCAACCCGAGCCCCACAGGTCATCCTCCACCCCGTCACCTCCAACACCATGTGAGTGGCTTCTCCTTCCCGTTCCCAAGTGGTGCCTCCTCCTGTACCCCTGTCGCTGTTTGGGTTTGACTTCCTGCCAAGCCCCCAAACCACACCAAGTGTTCCCCCCCTCTTATTAAAGGAAAGGGAAAAAGGAAAAAAAAACCTCAAAGGACCCGAAATAAACTGAACTAAAGCAATATATATATATTTACATGTATATACAATTACAGAACTATATACACATAAGAAAAGAGAACCCCAACACCCCAAAACTAAACCAGAAAAGCAGATATATGCAGATGTACACAGCTAATGGAGAGCTAGCAAACAAAAGAATCTTAATACTTTCCTTAAGAAAGCAGAACTGCTCCTGAGTCGGCAAAACAACAGGCCTCACAGGCCTGACCAGGCCTCACAGGCCTGACTAGGCCTCACTGCCACACGAGCAAGACCGGCCACAGGGACCTGCTGTCTGCAAGTCAAATGGAAGAGAAGAGGGCAGACCCTTCTCTCTCCTCCTTATTTATACTCTTGCTTATGTAAAAAATAGGATTGAACACTGGGACATGGCCACTTCCCTTGTTTCGACCTGGTTACCAAGTGTAGTCGGTTGTAGTTGGCCTCTCGCCAAACCCCAAGAGACCACAGCGAAAAAAAACCCTCCAAAGGAAAAAAATGGAATAGCAAAAGCTATATTTAAAAAATATATATTTTACATATATTACAGATATATACAATTAAAATACTATGTGCATATAACCACAGAAACCCCAAACGGCTCCCAGAAATGGGGAAGGGGAAGGGAAAAAGGAAAAAAGGGGCAAAAAGGGACAAAAACCCAAAACAGATATGCACAATCAACAACAGAGGAACTAGCAGAATAAAGAATTAGCAAAAGAATATCTTACTACTTTCCTTGGGACAGCAGAATCACACTGAACGACGGCCAGCACCCTCCGCCTCCCAAGGTCTACAAGGCCTCACTAGGCCTCACTAGGCCACACTAGGCCTCACTCCCCCACACAATGAGAACTGACAACAGGGAACCTGCACCTTCAGAACCACTGGAATGGAAGAGAGCAAAGACTTCTCTTCCCTTCTTCTTTATACCCTGGCTTACATAAAAATCGTAGGGAATACCGGTAACATGGCCACTTCCCTGGTTACAAACTGGTCACCAAGGAAGGCCTAGACTAAAACTACCACACCAAGAAAGGCCTATATCAAACCATCACAACCCCACCTCCTCCAGGCACCCCGGGGTGCCCCCCTGGCTTCGCTGGGGCTCAGGGAGGCCTTTGGGGTGGGTGTTGCTGCTGCCCTGACCCAGCTCACAGGTCTGGGTTGTGTCTTGGTAAGGAGAAGAGTTGAGAGAAGGTTCATTTATAACCCACAGAAACTAGAAAAAAAATGGCTTTCAACCCACAAAGCCGAAGCCCAAGCGATTAATTAAATGATAGTAAAATTATGAGCAGATAACCAGGGTCTTTGAGACAGTTTTAGTAAAGGCGGTTCTTGCAGCCCCACCTCCAATATTTTCAAGTTCAGTAAGTTTTGCACTGAAATCAGCTGTGAAAGGCAGGGGCTGATCCATGGTAGGACTGTCTCTTCCCAGCAGGTTGAGTCCTAATCCAGCATTCCCTGATGTCCTTCCACTGCAGGGTCACCTGCTGAGCCTTTTGCTAAATGCCATTTTGGGAGGATTTAACAAGGCAGGAGTTTAACAGACAAAGATCTGACTCCAGGGGGATCTCCCCTCGGGAGAGGGGATGGGAGAGACAGGGATGGAGCCACTGTCCCTCGGGAAATTATTGGAAAAGTGGTGAAGTCGAAGCCCTGAAGTTTTTTTTTTTGCCTAAAGCAGGGGGGCAGGTGTAGGGCTGGCAGGATTTGGAGTGGAAATAACTTTTAATATGTGAAATCTCTGATTCCTCTCTCCCTTCTCCCACTGAAAACAATCCATGGCAGTCACTGGGGTTCCTCTGGGCTTGGCTGGGTTAAAGAGCAGCCTCTGCTCCGGATACTCGGGATACTCGGGAGACAGGAATTCGTGCCCTGGATGGGGATCAGGCAGGAGGAGCTGCTGCTCCTGCAAACCACCTGTCCATCCTGATGCTCTGCAGCCACCCTGGGCTTTCCCTGCTGCTCCAAAAATCAGGATTGGCTCCTTTTGTACAGGCAGCTGGATTCCCCTGGGATTTATGGCTCTTTAGAGGCCATGGAATGGGATAGGACTCAAAGGACCACTGTGCCTGAGTGGGCTGGGGAGTGTTGTGCTCTGCTGTCTCTGGGAAAGAACGTTTTTATTTATGTTATGGATAATAATAATTATTATTAATATATTTATATGATGCTTGAAAGCACCTGAGCTGCTCCAGCCAATTCCCTAACTCAGAACATCCCTAATTCCCTGTTAACTGTTGGATGCAGCAAGATCCTGATGGTGGGAGGTGCTGAGTAAACAGAGAAGGCAAAAAGCAGCTCCTGGCCCAGGGAGCTGGAAAACTCATCAAATTTGGGTGCTTTTACTGCAGGGAGGGTTTTTGAAACTTCCACTTCTCCAAAATAATTGAAAAAACTCGTTTTCTTCTCTCCTGGCCATAAATCAGTGTTGCTTTTGGAATTCTGACCTTGGAAACCCCTAAAAATGCCACGAGGGTGTCAGTCTGTGCCCGGGGTTGGCCAGGGGTGACACCTCCCAGGGCACAGGGACATGGAGCCTCCTCCCCTTGGGAGATGGGATGGAGACCCGTGTGTGCTCCCACATCACCAAACCCACCCTGGAATGTCACGCATCCGACCTGAATGGATCATTTTAATCATCCCTGCTCCCTCCCCCTCTCCCACAGGAGCACCCAGGGATGGAGGGTGGGAAGGGGCTGCTGTCCCAAATCAACCTGACTCTTCTCCCCTCTGCTCCCTGGAATCCTGGTGCAGGGATCAGGCCTCCATGCCCACACACGTTCCCAACCTCCCTGTGGTTTTTACCTGTTTTTTTTACCTCAGTAATTCTTTCAACAGCCTGGAAGGAAACCCATTGCTTCAAATTGAAGTGGAGCCCACCTCGGAGGTGAGACGCTCGCTCCTGTGCTTAATGGAGCTTTATTTGATCTCCATCTTGGGGCACATTTTGCAGGAAGGGGAGAAGTTGAGCAGCTGTGCAGGGAAATTGCTGATAATTGAATTAAAGGCCAGGCATCCGTGTCCCCACCCCGTGCAGAGGGACCCTCACAGGCTCCGTGGGCGCCTTCAAGTTTATCATTCACTGGGGGCTTTTTAAGATGCATTAAAAACGTGGTGGAGGGGAGGGAGGGAGGGTGAGGGTGAGGATGGAGCTTTTAAAGGCTGTTGGAAATCCTGCAGGAAGTATAAACGTGAAGGGAAAAGTCAGAGCCATTCTGGGGTGGGAGCAGTGGCACAGCTGGGCCAGGGTGGGAGGAAACTCAGCTTCCAGAGGAATTAATTCAATGCTCTGATGTGGCACAACCTCATGTTTAACCTGGGGGTAAATAAATGCCTTCCTGCAAACCACAGGGACGTGGTGGAGTCACCACCCCCGGGGGGGTATAACAGACCTTGGGGACATGGCTCAGTGGTGGCCTTGGCACTGCTGGGTGAATGGTTGCACTTGATGGTCTCAGAGGGCCTTTCCAACCTGAAGGATTGTGTGATTCCCTGAAAATCTGGGATTCTGCTGACTTTACATAGAACGCAGTTGGCTTTGGAAGCAAAGGGAGCCTGGCTCCTCTGGGGCTGAGCGAGCGGTAGGTGGGTCAGTGGGGTTTGATCCGGGTGTTATTCCTCATCTACAGTTTCCCCACACTCACCACCCTTTCCCACCCCCCCTTCCAGAACGAGGAAGGCCCCGAGGAGGCGCAGGAATCCGAGGACGACTTCGAGGAGATGAACCTGTCGCTCCTCTCCGCCCGCAACTTCCCGCGCAAGGCCAGCCAGACCAGCATCTTCCTGCAGGAGTGGGACATCCCCTTCGAGCAGCTGGAGATCGGGGAGCTCATCGGGAAGGGCCGCTTCGGGCAGGTCTTCCACGGGCGCTGGCACGGCGAGGTGGCCATCCGGCTCATCGACATCGAGAGGGACAACGAGGACCAGCTGAAGGCCTTCAAGAGGGAGGTGATGGCCTACAGGCAGACACGGCACGAGAACGTGGTGCTCTTCATGGGAGCCTGCATGAGCCCCCCCCACCTCGCCATCATCACCAGGTAACGAGCCTTGGTGCCCGGCTGGGAGCGGGTTTGATTCCCAGAGAGGTCAGACTTTGGTGTTGGTCAAACTTTGGTGTTGGTCAAACTTTGGTGTTGGTCAAACTTTGGTGTTGCTCAAACTTTGGTGTTGCTCAAACTTGCTGTGGTTCGAGCGTTGGTGTTGTGTGGAGGGACCTGCCCCCCCAGAGGGGTGTTCTCCCCGTGCCGTGGAGCAGAGAGCAAACCCACCAAAGTGTGTCCGGGCACGTTCTTGTCCGGGCTCACTCTTGTGCCAGTGCAGCTCGAGACAGGAATGGTTTGTTTTATCCAGGGACAGGAATAATCATAGAATCCTGGAAAGGTTTGGGTTGGGAGGGATCTTAAAGCTCAGCTCGTGCCACCCCCTGCCATGGGGCATCTTCCACTAGCCCAGGTTGCTCCAAGTTTATCCAACCTGGCCTTGGACACTTCCAGGGATCCAGGGGCAGCCACAGCTTCTCTGGGCAACCTGTGCCAGGGCCTCCCCACCCTCCCAGGGAGGGATTCCTTCCCAATCTCCCATCTCTCCCTGCCCTCTGGCAGTGGGAAGCCATTCCATGTGTCCTGTCCCTCCATCCCTTGTCCCAAGTCCCTCTCCAGCTCTCTTGGAGCCACTTCAGGCACTGGAAGACTGGAAGTCTTCTTGCATCTTGCTGGGGAGCAAGCTGGGATTTGAGGGTCTCCCAAACCATGGAACACCTCCAGAGCTTCTTTAGTCTCCAAGAATTCCCACGTACCTGCCATCACCCACGTGCCTGGTGGGAAATGCAGCGTGGAGCCTCCCGCTGTGCTCCTTCCATGGATGGGCAACCACAAAATCCCAGCTGGCCTTGAGGCAGAGAGGCTGCAGCAGCTCCTGGAGCAGCTGCTGTCATGTGAAATACATTTATCCCTGAGAATTCCCTTATTTCCTTCACCCCCACACTACGTTTTCCACCCCAGTGCCGCTTCGCGTCCCACCACGGGTGACTCTCTCTCGGAGAAGTTTCCCCAAGGTGAGGTTGAATTTTCCTCCCGACAGCATTTCCAGGAGCAGTGAGATGGCAACGCTTCCAACAGCCATCAGTGATGAAATATTGCATCATCCTTTCCTAACGTTCCCTTGGAAGTGGCACCTCCCAGCCCACCCCGAGCCCAGCTCTGTGAGGGTCAGGGCGAGGGGGAGCTTTGCTCTGCTCCTCGGGCAACAGCAAAGGATTCCAACCCAAATTCGTGGCCCCTCCTGCCACTCCCTGCCCTGGTGGGTTCATGGGCTGTGTTTGCCTCAGGAATTACATCCTCAGGAGACAGGGTGACTCCAAAGCTGGGCTGGCTCTCTCCCCCCCCAGCTGGAGACTGGGAAAATTATGCCTTTTATTCCGGACCAAAAATTAGCCATCTGGGAAAATTCAGCAGCGTTTCAGATCTCCATCTATTAACCAGCTTCGGGCCAAAAAGCTCTCGGAAAAGTGTGCAAACACATGTATTGATGGATGAGTCAGAGCCCCCATCCATGTGTTACACCCTGTTCCCAGAGGAAAACGCGGCGTCTCCAGCCCGCTCCCCGGTCCCTTTGCAGCCCCTGTTTGCTCAGCTTTTCAGTGCTATTCAATATCAAACCCAATATATTCAATACCAGACCCAATATATTCATTTAGTTATTTTTTTTCTCTTTTTGAGCCGCGCGGTGTCTCCTATCCTAATGCCTCTTTATAAAAAAACCATAAAGGTGCCACTTGTGACAGTTTGACAAAATAAATCCGTGCTCTGCAGCAGCCTGATGCCTTAATATGAGGGCTGGGAAGGGCTGCTTGCTTTGTTTCTCTTCCCAGCTGCACTTGGTCCCTTTTTTTTTTTTTAAGGTCAAAGTACAACTTGATTGAATTGCCCCAAATATAACCCGAGCTCGGAGCGTCTCCAGGCATCACTTTGCTCTTTGCCTACAGCCAACAACCCATTTTTATCCACATTCTTCAAAAGCTGAAGCAACATCAGCATTAAGGTGAAGGAGAGGAGATTTAGATGGGATGTTGGGAAGGAATCCTTCCCTGGGAGGGTGGGGAGGCCCTGGCCCAGGTTGCCCAGAGAAGCTGTGGCTGCCCCTGGATCCCTGGAAGTGTCCAAGGCCAGGTTGGACGGGGCTTGGAGCAACCTGGGCTGGTGGGGGGTGTCCCTGCCCGTGGCAGGGGGTGGAATGGATGATCTTTAAGGTCCCTTCCCACCCAAACCCTTCTGGGATTCTGGGATCGTGATAATTCTGCAATTGCAACTGGAACTGTTTGGTTTTGCCCCGCTGGGATTCCTGGGGCACAATCAGCTCATGGCCGGGGCTGGTTGGCACTGAGGATGCAGGAAAGCCCATGGAGATGCTGGAAGGGGACTCAGCTCAGTCTCAGAGAACTTTTGGGAAGCCCAGGACTGCATCACTGTGTATTCCTTAGCCCAGGGCTGATTTCCAGATGCAATTTTCCCGCTTTGAAGCTTCCCATGGGGCTGGTGCTTCCCCAGGAGTCACCTTGGAGCTCTCAGTCTCATCCTTCCCGTTTTCCAGGGTGACAGCTCAGGGATCATAGGATTATGGAATAGTTTGGGTGGGAAGGGAGCTTAAAGCATATTCCAATCTCACCCCCTGCCATGGGCAGGGACGCCTCCCACCAGCCCAGGTTGCTCCAAGTTTATCCAACCTGGCCTTGGACACTTCCAGGGATCCAGGGGCAGCCACAGCTTCTCTGGGCAACCTGGACCAGGGCCTGACCACCCTCACTGTGGAAAACTTCTCAGGTCCAACCCAATCCTTATACCTAAGGATGCTCCTTGCCCTTGTGCCCACAGTCCTTGGTTGAACATTTTTTGGGGCTTCCTGGGACATCTCTGATCATATCCTGTGGGGAAAACCCTTCTCACCGTGTGGAATTCTCTATCCCATGAACATTTCAGGTGTTTCCTAAGGGGTAGGACAGCCCTGGGGACTCTTCTGCCATGGCACAGATGGGAGCTGTGCCTGGGTGTCGTAGGGAATGAGTCTGGGGAGAGGATAATATAGCAGGAGATGGATTGGGAATGGTCGAGGATATTGGGAATGGTCAAGGATACTGGGAATGATTCAGGATGTTGGGAATGGTCCAGGCTGTGGCACTGGGAGAGGAGGGAGACCGATGACCCCGAGCAGTGCAGAGCATCGCTCTTCAAACAGGAGTTTTCCAAAGGGACTCAACTTCTCCCCGTGGGTTTATTGGGATAACTTTAAACAAGGCTTTGCTTGGAGTGGGGAAAAACCATTCCCAGCTGCCCAACACAAAGCCAGGATGTCTGGAATTCCTCACCCACTCCTCCCTGTGCTCCTCCCCGGGGCAGGACTGGGGCTGTGCAGCCCCTTTTTTCTTCTGGGTGCCCAGAGGTGGTCGCTGGAGGCCGTTTTTTTCCACCAAATCCAATTTCTTGGAGCTGTTAAAGAAATCTCTGCTTTCCTGCCGGCACCCTGGGAGCAGCTGCCTGTCCCTGGAAGGGGCTTCACCACGTCGAGCCACCCGGCGCTGCCGGAAGGGGGTTATTTATAGACGGGTTTATTTTTACTTTTTCCCATCCCTACGTTTTCCTTCCTGATTGCTGGTGATATTCAAGGATTGTCTGATTAGCAGAAAGAAATCTCCCCCTCCAGAACTGACATCCCACGGGGAAAAGCTGGCAGGGGAAACTGAGGTAGTGGATTGCTGAGGGTGTGGGGGAGAAGGGAAGGCTCCAGGGAGAGCTGAGAGCCCCTTGCAGGGCCTAAAGGGGCTCCAGGAGAGCTGGAGAGGGACTGGGGACAAGGGATGGAGGGACAGGACACAGGGAATGGCTCCCCACTGCCAGAGGGAATATTGGGATGGGATATTGGGAAGGAATTCTTCCCTGGGAGGGTGGGGAGGCCCTGGCACAGGTTGTCCAGAGAAGCTGTGGCTGCCCTTGGATCCCTGGGAGTGTCCTTGGCCAGGTTGGACAGGGCTTGGAGCAACCTGGGAGAGTGGAAGGGATTTGGAACTAGATGATCTGTAAGGTCCCTTCCTACCCAAACCATTCCATGATCCCAGAGCATTTCTGAGGTGCCTGTCAGATCCCACCTTTCTCTCCCCACTCCTGGGTGTATTTTTGGAGCAGAAGCCATGGATTCCTGCCTCCCCTAACCCTGCCCATGTCCCAGCACCCGCTCTGGGAGCTGGATCATCCTGCTCTCCTCAAGTTGTTTTTCCCTTCTCTCTTCCCACTGGGAAGATGGGATATTGGGAAGGAATTCCTGGCTGGGAGGGTGGTGAGGCCCTGGCACAGGTTCCCCAGGGAAGCTGTGGCTGCCCCTGGATCCCTGGAAGTGTCCAAGGCCAGGTTGGACAAGGCTTGGAGCAACCTGAAGGTGTCCCTGCCCATGGCAGGGGGTGGGATGAGATGAGGTCCCTTCCAACCTTCCAGGTCCCTTCCAACCCAAACCAGTCTGTGGTTCCTGAGCTGTGTCTGAACGCGACCGGCAAAGGCAGAAATCCAGCATTTTTCAGCACTGGGAGGTGGTGACTCCCAGGAACACTTCCATCAGAGCCACTAATAGATCTTCTCTGGGGTAATGAGCAGTGGGGACAGTTAACATTCATCTTAATTAGTCCTGAGCAAGAGGAGTGGGAGCCTCAGTGCTTTGAGCGCTGCCGAGCGGGTGGAGCGGAACAGCATCAAAGTCCTCGGCTCGGTGGAAGTGAAAGGACTGAAAAAACACCCTGTTTGCTGCTCCCAGGGAAATAACAACCTGGGCTTGTTGGTGTTCAGTGAGACAAAGCCAGGCCTGGCTAAGCTCCTGTCAGCTCTTTGAGGCTCCTGGCCCCGGCCTGGGATTAGAGGTAAAGCCTCAGCCACCCAGGGGTCCTTCAAAGGACAAAGTCAACCCCTTTTCTGTTCCTCACAAAGGTGGTGGATTGCAGAAATCACCATGGTTTAGGATTCTGGGTGTTCCTTCCAGGAAAAAAAAAAAGGGGGGGGGG